TTGCTACTATCGGGTTAATATACGACACGTGTTCTATATTGACTCGGTAGTAAGTTTTATTAATGAACGTGTCTTAGTGTAAATAACTACCCTCGATGAATTGGATGTACTCCTCGGTTTAGTATTCGAGAGGAAGATAGTTAAAGATATAACTGGATCGACGAACATTTCATTAAGTGGATAAAAGCAAAACCAAGTACTTATCTCTATTAATTAAACTTATATAAGTCGTTCTTTTTTTTTTTTTATCCCGGAAGGCAAACCACCAAAATCAGTGGGGTAAATGCCGGGAGTCATTTACCGAGGTTTTATTAAAGAGATAATGAAAGTACATCAGAGAGGAGGACCAGACCAAAGCCTCTAAGAAAAATTACAAGAACCAAACAGGGAATAAAAATCAGAAGAATCGAAATGAAGAAAGCCCAAAATAATCCATGAAATAGGCCCGCTTTGCATAAATAGGAATAGAATTTGGGCCGGTTATGATTCGGAGGTGATCTACTACATCCTGCGCAAGGTAATGGGCCACCCAATTACCTTCTCGCCAAATATGTCTGAAGGAGAGCTTTTTGTTGTCGGCAATCAGTAGGGTTGCCTGAATTTCGTTTTTCCATTTGCGCACCTCAGTCCCCAACAAGAAGGAAATAGCCATCTGAGAGTCAGATTCTACCTGAAAACCGTCGAATCCCTTATCCACCGCCCAATCAATCGCAAACATTAACGCTTTGATTTCCGCATCTAGGGGCGACGAAGCAAGCAGCGGAAATTGCAGAGCGAAGACCATGGATCCACTGTGCGTCCTCATAATCGCACCTCCCATGGCACCTCTAGGGGAGAATGATGCATCCGTATTTAGCTTCATACCTTCCCCAGGTTTGCACCATTTTATGATTTGATATCTTCTTCCTGTAAGTTTGAAAGCTCTAGGAATTATATTCTCCTCAAACAGTAAATCACCAGTCGACGACATCTGAGGCTTGCGTATAGTGTAGATCCATTGCTGAGTAAAATGTTTGATCTGATTAATAATATTATCCGATGATATAGAATAATCACCACTGCCCCAAGTAATATTCGTGTACACTTTCCAGATGTTCCACCCAATTATCCCCGGTAGATTATGTTTAAAAATGTCTTCTAATTTCTTGCTACCTGCTTTTAACCACCAAGAAACCATCACCTGTCTAATAGTGCTATACTTAGAGGGAGCTGGAATGCTAAAGATTCCCATAAAATAAACCCAAATCGGATAGGATATCTTGCACTGAAAAAACAGATGATCAACATTATCATCCTGTTCTTTGCATAAAGGACACCTCGAAGGATTAAGCACGATTTTGAATCTTTTCAGATTATCTGTCACAGGCAGCAAATTGTTTAACAACTTCCACTGAAATAAGCTGATCTTCTTTTGCTGATTGGCATTCCAGATATGTTTGTGAGTAAAAGTGCTGACATTTTCTTCTCTGATTGCATTGTAGGCAGATTTTATACTAAAGTCCCCAGTGTCTTCCAAGGACCAGATCCAATCTCTAGTGGGATCAAGTGAGCAAAGAGAGCAAGCTTCATCATTGATGGCACATAGCCTCTTCCAAACTGCAGAGTCAGTGATTTTAGGTATGTAGTTATCTTCCCTTGGATATCTAGCTTTTATGAATGTATTCCATAGGGAATTTCCAGTTTTCCACTTCCACCAAAGCTTGAGTGTAAAAGATTTTTCCAAATCTGTTAATGATCTAATCCCCAGTCCCCCCTCATCAGTAGAAGCACATAAGTGATACCATTTTTTCCAATGATATTTTTTCTTATTATTTGAAGAACCCCAGAAAAAGTCAGCCATTTTGGATTCAAGAATTCTGATTACTTTTCTAGGTAAAGTATCAGTAGCAAGAGTATGTAGAGGAATGGAGCTTAGGACATGTTTAATGAGGATAAGTCTGCCCCCTTGAGATAAGTTTTTCTGTCTCCATGGGCTTAATTTCTTTTCAAATTGATCAATAATGTGAGTGCAGTAATGATATCTGTTAACACTTCTGTGTAGATTTACCCCAAGATATTTTAAGGGCATTGAAGATATTTTCATCCCAAGGGCATTTTTGATAGAAGTGGTTCTTCTTTCAGCTGCTTTACCACAAACAATTGTACTCTTGTCCAAATTAACAATCTGACCTGAAGCTGTCTGGTAAGTTTCCATGAATCTTTTGAACTTAATCAAAGATCTGATCTCACCATTTAAAAAGACCAAAAGGTCATCTGCAAAGCCCAGATGAGAAATAGGAAAGCCCTGGGTCCCAACCCAATAAGGTTTAATCAGTCCTTGTGCAATATGCCAGTTTAGACCCCTTGAGAATCCGTCAGCAGCTATAATAAATAGGAAGGGGGAGAGAGGATCACCCTGTTTAACTCCTCTAAGAGGCTTAAAAAAACCTTGAGGAGCACCATTAACCAGAATAGACAAAAAAGTGGCTTTTAGATTATTCATCACTAAATGAATGAAAAAATCAGAAAAACCAAATTTCTTAAGAATTCCATCCAGATAAGACCAAGATACTTTATCAAAGGCTTTGGCCATATCTAATTTAATAACCACATTAGCACCTCTAATCTTTTTGTCAAGTGAATGAATCATCTCTTGAGCTACCAAAACTTGGTCAGCAATATCTCTACCTTTCATAAAACCAGCTTGCTCCTTAGATATGATTTTGGGTAAAATAGTACTACGTCTGGAAGCAAGAACTTTGGTACATACTTTACTTTTTGGAATGTGGATGCCCATAAAAAACTCTTGAACAGCCTTAACAACATCACTACCCACTTGTTACTAGAATTTAATTAAGAGTTATTGAGAGTTGGACTTGGGGTACACACTTTTGGTGTACACACTTTTTACACATGTCTGTGTAAGGTTTTTTTTATGTCTGTACAGACATAACGATATACGTTATGTCTGTACAGACATAAAAAAAACCTTACACAGACATGTGTAAAAAGTGTGTACACCAAAAAGTGTGTACCTTTAGAGTTTTTCTTTAATTAAAAAGAAAAGTATTCCTTTCCATGTGGATACGAACCTTACTACACTATACTACGTATAAGTGTTGTATTGTAATTATTATTTTGAAGTGCACACCACGACAAAGTGCACGTCACTGCGCACACCATGCACAATTGCCACGCACGCCGTACACGGCGGTTGTTACGCGATTTGTCTGTTGGACGCATGAACTCCATGCGTGGGAAACGTGCGTGTGCACAATCAGAAAGCTATATTAGTCCGAAATTGCTACTTTTTCTAGATCCCAATTTTTTAGACTGAGCTTAGAGACAAGCCTAGGAATGAATTTTTACTTGTTTTTCAGCTTTGGATCTTCAAAATTCTTGGGTTATTTGTGAGTTCGTTCTCTCTTTCAATCGATGACAATTAATTGTTTTTCTCCCAATTCTATTGATCATTCTTCAATTATGAATTGTGAGTTAATTGAATTAGGGATTGGAATTGGTGAATGGGCGTAAATCAAGATCTAGGTTTTAATTCTTGATGGAGTAATTGCAAGATTATTCTTGTGTGTGAATAATTTAATTGATATCTTTTGTAAACCAGAATGACCAATACAATTATAATTGCACATAGAATAATTTAAGAGATATGTAAATGGTTCTAGGACACTTTCACACACACCTAATCAATCGCTAAGAGATTGGCACATTTAGGGTGTCGTACGCTCCCTCGTTTTGACAATAGTTTAGAAACTCGTTGCATGAGAGATCAGTCTGATTCTCTTAATTATTGTATTCTAGGCCCCAAGAACTGTATGAACTTAGTAATGACTTGTTTTGCTGAATTAAATAATTTTAATGTGATTAAATCTGATAATCTCCAATATCTGGTTGCCCCCCAAAATCAATTCTTGTTTTCCTTTTGTCATTAATGAGAAAGAAATTTTTATTTTAGCTTTATTTTCGTAGCATTTGAATTTCAAAAATCAAATCACGTACAATCACTTTTTATTTATTTATTTTAAACGCTGAAATTATTTAATACTTAATTCCATTTTTCTGTCCTTGTGGAGATGATACTCGTAGTTATACTCTATATTATTACGTCTATTTTAAATGTGAGAAAACTCACATCACTAAGCGTGTGTGGACTTTTTCCAATGGTTGACACCTAGGTATGTATATACAAGGATATCTTTTAAGCTATTGAACTTTGAGAACCTCTTTTGTAAGAACTATGACTTCTAGAAGAAACAATCATGAAGATGTGGTTGGTCCTACCAACGTGGAGCTAGCTAAGACAGTTATCCAATTGACTCAACTTACCCACACCATAGAGCAATCGGTTCATCAAAACCAAAATCTGCAACCACACTACCATGACAATGACATGATCAGGCAGATTTCGAGACATAATCCCCCGAAATACTTGGGTGAGGATGATCCTTTTATCTTAAAGGATTGAATCAAAACTTTTGACAAACTCTTTAATGTGGTGAATTTCCCTGAAGAGTACCAAGTTCGCACAACTGCATACTACCTTCATTAGGTGGCAAATAATTGGTGGGCTACTGCGGGTCTTGATCTCAAGTTGTTGGAAATTTATTATAAAATAAAACTCAAGTATTAATTTACTAGTCCTAAACCATTTATAAGTTAATACGGTATTATAGAAATCTTTATATGTAATTGTTATTATTATACATTATGAGCACTACTTTGTACACGTGTGATGATGGTCTCATAATTATAATAGTATTATTCAATTACATTTTGTTTTCTTATCTTATTTGAAAATATTAAATGTGTTATTTTAATAAAATGGCACTTTGCGGCAGGACACATTCGTTTGCAATATTTTTACATTAATTCTTTTAATAAATGAATGACTTGTGGATACCTTTGTTTATTAGTCATGTCCTTTTATTTGGCCGCACCTTTTCATTTTATTGAAAGCATCACAACTGTTCAATGAAAAAGTTTTATTCGGTTGGTTTATTAACCACCCATTTGAAAGAGTTATTTTCTTTTTTGGATGAAATGTAAGTATATATTAACACTCAAAAGAAATAACAAGTCAATGTTACAGAAAAGTGCATATCCCGAAACGGAATACCACAACATCAAGAGACTAAATGTTCAAGAAAACAGCAAACAGAGCTCAGAAACAAAGGAGAAACATAAAATCAACACACTAGTTCCCTGAGAGGAAACCTAGTTTAACATCCAAAGAAAACATGGAAAGGATTATTAAACTTTGCAACGAAAGAAACCTCCCCTTTCTTCATAGTAAATCCCGGCAAACTCTCCATACAGTGATCAGTGAATGTTAGCCCCCTCTTGTCCAAGTCGTCCGTAAGTCTAAGAAACCTATCCACTCTAGTTACACTAGCTTGGACGTGTTTGAAAGGTTTAACAAACAACTTAAACTTCTTAGCACCAATGATCTCACACTTGAAAACCACATCATCTTTTTTCAGCTCACTTTCTAAACTCACACACCTACCCAAGGCTGCCATCTGGTCAGAGGACCCGGTAGGGTCAGGAGCAGCCACCACATCATCAACAGAACCTCCAGAAGAAACAGCAGACCCAGCAGGAGCAGGCTGCCTCTGAAACCCGGGCGGGTTTGGGGAAGACCCGGGCGGGTTTGGGATTAAAATCTGTGACCCGGTCGGGAGCTCGGTCGGGTCAATCCCTAGGGCAGAATCTGCCAGATCAGATATAGCTACAACCTCATCCCCTTTTCCACCTACAACGTCCAGTTTAGGCTTCCCCTCATCCCTGCCTCCACATTTAGTAAGGGAAATCACCTTACCGTTTAACCCCTTCTTCACATCATTTGAAATCCTCACTTTATCCTTCTTATTCCATCCCAATTCATTGCAGATAAATGGGTGATGATCATAAGATTTGCAATGAAAGCAGAAAATAGGAAAGGTTTCGTAAACAACAACTTGTTTAAAAATCTTTCCTGATGGTAACCGGATAGGCAAAGAGAGGCATGGTGCCAAGGTGATATCCACTTCAATCAACACTCTCGCAAAGTTGTAGTTTGTCATCTCTTGCGTGACCTTGTCCGTAGTGATAGGAACACCCACCTTAGAAGCAATCATGCTCAGTGCCTCTTCATTCCACAGATTTAAGGGTAAATTGGGAAACTTTACCCAAATAGGCACCTTAAGGAATGCCTCATCATCAAAAGTGAAATCCTCAGATAGCATTTTTAAAAACAGTAATCTACCTAGGATATTGTAAGGTCCTTCGGTAAAGACTTAGTTCTATCCCGCTCATTCTTAAATTTAAAAACCACCCATCCTTTTTTATGGGATTGCAAAGTACAGTGCACACCCCAGCTATTCACAAGCTCATAAATAGCTTTAAGCCCCGGGAATCTACCTGTGAAGCATCCAACAAGGCAAAAGCCCCACAACGAGACCATAGAAGGTAACACACACTTTGAAAGATCAACAATTTCATTTTCAGAAGGTAGGTATTTTAATTTAATACCTTTAGATTGAGCACGGTTGTCTCTAAATAAATCTGCCAATTTTGGGTTATTTCCAGCATGTTTGGGAGCAGAAGCTTCATCATTTGGTCCAGGGTGAGTGGTCATTTTCCAAGCAGCAGTTGACTTCTGTGCAGTAGGAATTGCAGCAGACCCATTCTGTGCAGTTGGCATCTGTGCAGTAGGTATTGCAGCAGACCCATTCACTGCCTTAGCCGTTTGAGACACAAAGAGTTCACCTTCTGTTAAGGTTCCAGGGGTAGCAGTTTTTAACATAGCAGAAGTCGAGCTCCCAGAGTTTGGGATACCCCCAGTAGCCTCATCTGCCTGCTCAAAACGCCCAGTTGCAGTATCTAAAACAGCAGTTCCGGAGCTAAGACCTGCAGCAGATTTAGCAAGCAAAGGGAAATCCTCCTCAAGATTACTCAAAACCTCAAAGCCTGATGCCTTGGACCTGGTAAGCCTGGGCGTAGCCTCCCCCTTTCCTGTCTTCTTTTTGTTCATTTTACAGGGTCAAAGCCGCACAACAAAATCAGAAACGCAGACCTACACACGACCTGGGAAAAAACAGAGTTCGAAACAAAGAAATCCCCAAATCAGAGACCGGATTCGTACCTCGTCGCAGCAATTCCGAGGTCGGACTAGCACTCAGAAACGATTTCGAAACCAGAAACCCAACAAAACCGAACAAAATACATGAAAATCAAAACGCGATTACATGAACAGTAAAGGCGCAGTTGAATATCGTCGTATGTTGGTTTCTTGACTGTAAATCCTTCCAAACTGAAATTCCATTGATTCCGACTAAGAACAGCGAGAATCACACCAGGTTTCAAACAACAATCGCCCAGAATCGAGAAACGCAGGCCATGAATCGTACGGAAAACGAGCTAGGTCGCAGACAGAAAGAGTTATTTTCTTTATAAATAGGAAGGACCTGGTCGAATTGAGGGATGAACGGGAACACCTGTTTGTCAACCTTGTCTATTTGTTTACTATTACTTTTATCTGCAGTATTAGTAATAAATTCTTTAGACCACTTTTTATATAAATCACTTGTTCGGTGTTATTTTATTGGTAACTAAAATACACCATACACCTTCTTTTTATCCCAAAAGTTCTATCTTGTAACCCGGTTACTGTAATAAGAGTAGATAGTAAACTTTTAGGAAAGCGTATTTAATACGTGACTAGAAGTGATATCCGGTCCAGTCATATTTCTACACCCTTATATAATCTACAATTTATATCCTCAAGTTCTAACACAAGTTGCAGCCCGGTTCTCTTGGGAGTCATTTAAGGATGAATTATGTGAACGTTTCTATCCGGAACATGTGAAGGCGGCTATGTATGAGAAGTTTCTTCAACTGAAGTAGGTGGACATGATTGTCCAAGAAAACTATGCAAAATTCTTGACGTTAGGAAGATTTGCACCAACCATAGTTCCAGATGAATACAACAAGGCAACAAAGTTCATCAATGGGTTAAACTTCGACACTCAGAAGGCCATGGGTGTTATTCAATGAAGCCTATGGAAAGGCTGCTATTCACTGTAATACACCAAAAATTTGAGAGCATTTGGAAAATATTAAAATTATGATCCGTATCGTTTAGAAAGTGCTTAGATAGTTTATGACGGTTGGTTTAGTGTTTGGGACCAAGAGGATATCCAAAAGGGGAAGGAATAGAGCAAAAAATAAGGTTTGGGATGTCTCGCAAACCCGCTCGGCGTGCGGACTGTTGAGTATGTTGTTTTGTTGATGACTAACTGACATGCACTCATCGTTAGGTGCACTCAAAATAATTAATCAATACAACACTAATACGTAGTATAGTGTAGTAAGGTTCGTATCCACAGGGAAAGAAATATTTTTCTTTTATATAAATAGTAACAAGGGGGGTTTAGATTTGTTTGGTTTAATAACACTAAGATAAACGACCTATATGAGTTCAATTCAATGAGATGGGGACTTGGTTTTGCTTTTATCCACTTAATGAAATGTTCGTCGATCCCGGTTATATCTTTAACTATCTTCCTCTCGAATACTCAATCGAGGAGTATATTAACGAGATTTGTTCATCGAGTGTCGTTATTAATAACGAGATGCGTTCATTAATAAAACTTACTATCGAGTCAATATAGAACAAGCGCCGTATATTAACTTGATAGTAGCAATAAACTTAAGATGAAAACGATTGAGATTGATAACCTCAACACAAGCGGTTTATTGGTTTAATCAATATAATTAATTCCCCTTGGCATATTAACCATGAGATGCATGCATTAATATTCCAAGTTTACTACCGTTGAAAGAACCAGATTAATAACAAGCGTATTAACCGATTGATTCTAGTAATAATTAATATGAGAAACAATACTAGTTGATACTTTAAGTAATGTTTAAGATATTAACATGAAATATGAATAGGAATTAATTAATACTCAAGGAAGAATATTAAAATATATGAATCCTACTATGATTAATATCAAGATGTTAACTAATTGTCATCTTAGTAACACTCCCCAATATTATCATAGAGGAAGAAATAGCTATTACTATAACCAATGTCAAGATGTTAACTAATTGTCATCTTAGTAACACTCCCCAACTTTGATATAGAGATAGTATTTTGAAAGAAAGAATTAATATTCAAGGAAGACGATTTAAAGAAAATAACTCACAACTTACAAATTCATTAAGCTTCAACGTAGCAAAACCAAGATGGAAGAGTTTAGCTCCTTATTTGGAGACTAAACATGATGAAAATATAAAGAAAGAGCTATTCTATACTGAGCTTAGATGTACAAGGGATTGGATATCTTTTTGTGAAGGAAAGGGGGTGTATTTATAGGTTTTTGGGATGGGATTCGGGTACTCGATCGGGTATATACATGGTACCCGATCGAGTACGTGTGTAACACTTGATCCGAGGCATACTCAACCGGTTTTAGGCTATTTTCTAAGAGTATACCCGATCGAGTATATATGAATACCCGGTCGAGTATGCTTAGAAAGTGGTATTCGGGCCATACTCGATCGATCTTCGTTTGAAATTCAAAGGCATACCCGATCGGGTATGTCGGTCTACCCGATCGGGTATAGACATAGAATCGTGGCCGAAATCTTCCATGCATGTTCCCTTGTCTTCGGATCTGGTCCGATTTGAAGTTCCAACCTAATACCCGATCGAGTATAGCTAATACTCGACCGAGTATAGACCAAAATTCAGGATCTTCTTTTGTCTTTGAACTTTTGCACCTTCTTTTCACTTTTTGGGTTCACCAACTGTACTTTGAGTGACCAAAACCTGCTTGAGCTCAGAAAATATCTAATCTAACCTATTTACAAGAATTTAACAATCTAATCTATTACACCAAAAGTGTGTAATTTCCAAAGTAAAAGTCAAGCAAAACTAATTAAAAACATAAACATAAATATGGAAATTACGAACGTATCAACTCCCCCACACTTAAACCTTTACTCGTCTCGAGTAAGATCAAATGTTTACAAGTGTCAATGTTTATCTAAAAGTTCCACAATTCAACAAAAACATAATACAAACACAAAGACCACCAAGGATGACAAAGAAAAATGAGTTTTAAACTCAAATTACAAAAGAGCATCTTGGGTTTAATGGCCTCCTAGTGTTATCTTCTTTTCTCCTCCTCTCTTCTTCTTTATCTTGAATCTTCTTATTCTTCATAAGGATACAATGAGTGCCTGCAAGAACAAACATTTCTCTCATATCTCTCATTTTGCCTAGGAGCCTTTTCAGGTTTTCATCCTAGCACCTCTTTTCATTTTCCATTCTCTCCAACTCACTCATTTTTTTTATAAGCCTTTTTTGCTTAGATTGCCCATTTTGTTGGGTTTTCAACCTAACTAGCTTTTATTTTCTTTTGTTTATTTTTTCTTTATTTTTTTGTTTTTTTTTTTGTGTAAAAGTTCAAAAGAATTACATGCATAGTGCTAGGTAGAAATGAAAATTACATACCATCATGAGTGTCTCCCCCGCACTTGAATCAAGCACTGTCCCTAGTGCCCGCCTTCTCCTCCGTAGTAGCTCCCTCCAAAGCCGCTCCCTTGGCCACCATCTCCCATGTAGGTGTCCCCGCCATCTCCGCCGTCGTATCCTCCACCCCCGGAGCCAGATCCTCCAAAGTTACCCCAATGAGTGGGGTCATACCATGAGGGTGGTGGAGGAGGGTTCGCCATGGTATGGAAGGATCCCTGCTGTGCCATAAAAGAGTACATAGGTCCGTAGAACCTATGTTGGTCTTCCTCATACCGATGTCTATCGGCCTGCCTGAGCTCCTCCAATCGTTGAAAGCCGGCTCTTTGCTCATCCTCCAATCTTTGAAAACCGGCTCTTTGTTCCTCCTCTAATCGGTTGAGCCGGTTGTCCATTTGGGTTATTCCCGTGAGCAGTTGTTGTTGACCCTCCAGAAGTTGTTGAAAGAAGTCGGGTGGTGGAGGGTTTTGGCTTTGTTCTGGGAAGTCCTGGCTCATGGTTGGAAGGCTATGGAGTTGCTCATAGGGCTCGTAATCGGGTTGGTTTTGGGGAGGTTCCTGTTCCGGTTCCTGGAGATGTGGTGGGAGGACGTTTGGGAAGAGGTAATGTTGCTCCGCTCTTCCTGTTTTGAAGTGGAGTTGGGGGAGTTCTGGGTTGGGCAAGAGGAAGTATTTGAGGGGTTTGGGGTGGATGTGCCAGTTGTACATATTTCTGGGCCTTTCTTCACCATAAACGGTGTGTGAAAAAGATGTACAGCCCGAGTGGCCCAGCCAAGATATGTTCATCAAACAGTAGTCGGGTATAGGAGAGTCATCCGTATACCCGAACTTTGTGGCCAAGTGCATAATCACCCCGCCCACTACAATAGCACCCTTTGCCACACTTTCTTTTTTTAGATGTGCCCACATGAGATTACATAGGTTGAAATCCACGTGGACACGGAATAGGGCTACCGAGATGAGGCACACATCCCCCATCCTAGTATGATGGTTGTTGGGGCGTCCAAGCAAGGAGTTGGCGAGGAATTTCAAAAATAGGCGGAGGACGGGATGTTGGACATGACTAATATAGAGTTGGGAAGAGCTAAATTTAGTCTCCCCGGTCATCTTTGTCCATAGGGTGTGGCCGAAGGCGGTATTGTCGGATATAGATTTTTGGTACGGGACCGGAATACCAAAGTGTTCGGCGAACTCAAGTTTTGTGATGGTGTGATTGTGATTAAACAATCGAAACCTGAGTTTATCATCCCTAAAGTCCTCTTCATTGTTCTCAAAGTGCACAGAGCTTAGGAATTCATAGATAATTTTTTCATTTGAGTTGTATTGCATTTTGAAAATTTTATCCATGCTCAACTCATGAAAAAATTTCTTCATCATTTTGTACACTCCTAATTCCTTTAGGGCATCATGGCATAAAACGCGGGAAGGTTTAACTTGCCTTTCAATTGTGGACATGAAGCGTGTGCGGTGTTCGTTGTCCACGAAGAGGATGTCCTCGTATCTCGGGATGGATGCCCTAGTGCTTGAGCTTTGCCCTTTCTCTTTCCTTGGAGCCATTTGGAGTGAATTTGGCCTTTGAAAACCGAAATTGGAAGGTGGGTGGTAGGGTTTTTCGGATCTCTGAAAATTGGGGGAGAATGGGATTGGTGAGTATGAATGTGTAGAGGAGGATGAGGGGAGTGTTTTGGTGTTGAAATGGGAGGATTTGGTGAAGATTCGGAAGAGATATGGTAGAGAGAAGGTGTAAAAATGGGGGTTTGGGCGTTTTTGTTCGAGATAGGGTTGGAAATTCGGAGAAGACGAAGTGTTTTGGGGCTGATTTGGGGTTATAATACCCGTATACCCGATCGAGTATGTGCTGGTACTCGGTCGGGTATGTCTGGAAAGTGGCCTTTTTGAGCAGTCTGCCTCCTGTACTCGATCGGGTATGTACTGTTACCCGGTCGA